AGAACAGCAACCATGTAATTTTACTATAAACCAAATTCATGTAATGTTAATAGTACTTATCCATGCCTGTACAACTGGTGTGTCCTACATATATGCGATAAATATATATATGATGATAATACTGCTAACAATGTCCTCTGGTATTATTTTACGTCGATGGTATAGCGGTTAGGACGCTCGCCGACCATGTACATGGCCGGGGTTCGATCCCCTGCCGACGCACTCCTTTACCTCGTTGAGCCAGAAATAATGCTGGTAAAGAGGAAAGGTTGGGCATGAGGCTAGGAACCCCATCCTGTAAAATAAACACTGCTGCAGAAACTTCAATCCGCTAGCTAGTAGCCCTATGTTCTACTGGGGAACGTGAAGGAAAAGAAAAGTAAGAAAACATTATTGGGCCCTGTGACCTAGTGGGAAGCACTTGTCATGAAAGCTGTTAGTGTGTAGCATACTGCATGATTGGGACGGAGTCAAAGCAATCCAATATTACAACTGCAGTCATTGTAAAAGGTCTCAGAGCTTAATGTCAAAAAAGGAGGGAGGGTGACGCATGCTGATCAGCTGATTTGGTAGTGGTCACAAATGTGAATCGCTCCGATCTGTAGGACAGCAACATGCATTATTTTGGTAGCTCGAGAATTAAACATGAGTTTAGATACTGAATGTATAAAAAAATATTTAAAAAATTAAAAAAACTAAAACAATATTGACTGTACAGATTTAACTTATAAAAAAATAATGCTTTCGCTCCTAACATCTATAAGCCTGCCCAGTTTCTTGTCAAGATGCTACCCCATGGGCCATACACAAGTTTGCCAGACATCCTACAGGTCACCATATCCAACAGGTTCTAATCCCTCAAGCCACTTCTATCTGATATGTCACTTATATGCTTCACGACAATCCTTCTATCTAATTACTATTATACTCTACTTTATCTCAACTTCCTAGATCTTTAATAAAAAGATGAAACTTACTTTTTTCTTTTTTCTCATTTACACTCTTCTCTCGCATAAAGTTCGGTTGCTCTGATGATAAAAAAAGCAACACCCATGTTTGAGAATAACTTTATTTTCATAGAAAACGTCATAGTTTTCCATGGTAAGACCAATATGGTTAGCACCATACATTGCAAATGTGCACTATCATATCAAGTACTGTATAGCTTATTCCTGTATTTTTCCTGTAAATATACTTCCAATAATGTATTATTCATGATTGCATTTTATACCACTATGTGGCTGTGCAGGATTTTCTCCTCTTCCTGAAATAGCGTTCAAGCACTTGGGGTCACAGTACTCACTCAAATATATGTTGTTTATCGATGGGCCATTACTATCATCAGGAAATGGAACGAAGTTTGGATTGTCGCTCAACTTCGATGGAGACCTTCGTGAAAGATTTACAAATTACCAATTATTAGATTCTGTTCCGATTGCTTTTACTACAATTCAAAAATTTGAACCTTTTAAAAAGTGATAATGTATGCTAATTCATAAATGTAATTCGTAACATGATTGATCGTGCCTGTAAAAGTGGCATGCATTTCATGTGAACTTACCCGTCTATACGAAGTATATATTATATTAATCCTCTCACTGTGTCAACCGTGACCATGATTTTAAGATCACTTATGGAATTCATGCTAACTTGCTGCGTTTTCTTCGCTATAAACCTCTAAAGACGGTAGGGGCATTGACCATTCATGAATTCAAGCTAGACCTTTGTGAATAAGAAGGGAGGGTGGCGCATGCTGATCAGTAGATATGGTGGTGGACACTAAGGTGAATCGCCCCATTCTGCAGGAACAGCAATATGCAATTTGATGGCTCGAGATTTCTATGAGGGCTTGAATCTTTATCTTGAAAAAGATTATAATGATCGCCTAGACAGATCATGCTTCTACCTTTAAACATATACCATTAGGTCAGCCTATTGCTGAGATGCGACCACGTGGGCTCTGCACAGATTTATGGGGCATCTTATAAATTAACATGCTTTCCTTTGTCGTATCTTCAAACATCACTTAACAGTGTCTCATCTCATACATTTTCTAATAACGTCTTCACGTGCTCATTTTATTCCACTAAACCTAACATTTTATAGCTCTTTATGAATCTGATTCGACTTATTTTATTCCTATTCTCTATAGGGTACGGTTGTGCACCAAATACACAAAAAGGTATGAAATAAAAACAACCGGCTTGTGAATAATTGTATTCATACCATCATGATAGTAAGACCTATAGGGTAGCATTATACATTGCAAATGAACTTTGTCAGCCTAGGGATTATAGTCTCCCATTTTATTTCCTTTATGAATGCATATATCAATTTCATTACACTTTAATGATTCACCTTAGCACCTTTACTTTTCTAAAACAGCTTACTATCCCTTGTAAACGTTGTACTTACCTCAATATTGGTTGGTTATCGTAGGCCTACAACTACGGGTTGAAAACGAAATGAAGTCGATTTTCCTGCGCAACCTGGAGGACTGCTGTTTAATTCAATAATGATACGACATGGGTCGGACAAAGAGTGTATTTATATATATATCAAATATTTAGCTGTTCAAAAATTTACTTGTAGCCCTAGAGGGACAGACATTCATTGATTGATTTATTTTGTTTATCTGGTTGATCTACGCACCTCCCGTATTATTGCGACAATTACAAATAAACATTCCTAATAATGTTAGTATGCTCACTTTAAACTGTTTCGACCCTTTCTACTTGTCATTCTCAATACAAACGTTTTATTACAATAATGAATCCCCTCTTTTCAAATTTCACAATATGCAATGTAAGGTTTTATGTTAGATTCAATCTGGATATTGTCTCACTGACACTTTCACTCAGTGTCACCGTATGGCCATAGTCCTGCAAATGCTGTGTGATTGACATCCTTGGGGTGCTATTATGAGCAATCATGCTATTCAGGCGCTCAGGTGGAAGCTGGGCAGGAAACGGCGAACTGGACATGACTCCGAGGACGACATGGAGGTGATCGTGCGAGGAGGCGTTGTAGGAATATTGTCAATTATGGGCCAGATATAGACGACTGTTGAGAACAGGACAATGTGGAGTTTTGCTGTCGAATTCCTCACGATTTAAAGTTACCCAGTTTTCAGAGTGCATTCGAAGTGTTTAGCCTACCAATACAAGTCATGCAAGCTGACAGCATACGGTTGGAAAGTGATATTTCGTTATTCCATGACAAACGCATGCAAACATCTGATCCACTTTGTGTCGCCATATCTCATTTAAGCGAGCAGACTAAATGTCACTGAGACGGATCGCGCAAACCCTACTGATGCATAGCAGGAACCATGACGGTGTAAGACATTGACAACATTTTACTCGGGCTTTACCACATTACCTGTTATTCCCCCTAACTTCGCCTTATTCTTGAAATGATAAATGAAAGGGATACAAGTCTACAGAAACGCATATATTTATGACGAACTGACGACCAACCAACTGAGATATAGCTTGGTATGAAAGAGTACATGGTTTGTAAAAAAGCATTGCTAAATTTCGCTGTAGTAGATTGTTTACACCTGCGACTTAATCATTGTAAAGTCTACTAATCATGCTGTCAATGAGATCTGCGTCACTATCCGTCAGTTGGTAGTGATACTGGAAAAATATTTGCACTTTCCCATCACCACCAGACCCTCCATGAGAAACTGGATGTAGTGTTTCTACTGAAAACTGAGATTGCATTCTCTCGACTACCTTAGGCTGCATCAAACTAAACTTTGAGCGACGAAAAGTAACAAGGGAGTGCCAGCCCACCAGTGACCTTGGAACACTCAGCGTGCAAGTGAGTGACACCGGGCCAAAAATCCTACAATAATGAATAAAATGTGTTGATTGAAGTGATATGATATTAAATGAGATATCTGGCACTTTTTGGGTTAGGACAGGGACAGATTAAGGTAAGGCTTTGGCTAATAACAGGTTAGAGTTAGGTTAAACTATTACTGGGGATATTAGAGTTGATTAGAGTGAGATTATGATTAGCTTACGGATAGTTTCGCGCTACAGCTAGGTATAGGATGGAGAGGTTTACGGTTAGCGTTAGGCTTAGAGTAACTGGATAAGCATATCGATGGCGTGTTTTGATTACTCCGATGAAAGTGTGATGCAAAGCTCAGAGGTATTTTCGTCAATCGTTGAACAAAGGTATCTAGCGTAACTTGGCTTTTATCCATTATTTCAGTAAACAGGTGGATTTTATGTGTAGAAACGCCTGTTCATATGATCGGCGTGTTCAAGACACTTTGTCCATTGCTACATGTTGATCCTTAAAGTGAGAATTCGCCAACACGGTTTCTTGTTACCCACACCTTAGCCGCAACACTCACTCAATCGAAAATCCACCAAACATAGTGTGCGTAGGGAAATTCGAGAGCTCTGACCCCCCAATGAGGCGTTGATCCATCTATCCTCTCTCTGTAAACCGGCTGCAGAATAATCATTTAGGCGGTCTCAATATGTCCGAATCGAATATGGGCTGTTGCATGAGAAAGATCCTTCTTCACCTGAATCCAGAGGACCTCATTCGAACTGTTGTAATTTGGGTGTATTGATTCATGTTTGGATTGACATACCAGGACGGTGGGACAGGCGAGGAATCGGAATAAGCCAAATTCCGCTTTCACTCCATGGCGTACTGTATGCAAATTCGATTATTATGCTGTAATGCATCAACATTTTCGCGTCTTACAATGTGCTGGACACTCTACATGGCCAAATACGAACAATGCTGTATTTACCAGCACAGATGAAAACCTGGAAAGTGTATTGTAAGCGAAATCAAATATTTGAAGTACGCAAAACAAATGCAAGCGTGCTTGACTGAGCGAAGTGCATATGGAACAATCGAAAGCAAATTTTCGATTATACAATGGCAAAAATTCGGTAGGCATGTGTAAAATCAGATTGTGTAAAAGTAAAATATGGTCACATGAATTAGTTTCAATAGCGATCATTCAGAGTTATTATAGGGGTATTACGACTGCTGTGTATGTTGATTTGTTTAAATGGTCTCACTTGATAATTTGTTTTGTGCACGGCACCAACGTGAGTTTAGTCAGTTCTTCGGTCAGTCGGTCTGCATTCATAAATGTTATGACTACGTTAAACTGTTGCGTTTTCCAATAGATTGTTCGAGTTGTATCTTGTAAATAAATATTCCATTCTAGCTTAGACGACTTTTTATTGTTCGATATATAGAGGTAATGTTTTCAATTGTACTTTGTAGAATCAATGTGGATACCTCCAGTTTGTGATAACCCTCCACCTCTTAATATTGAAGAAGAGCTACTTCCTACAACACTTCGGACCAAAACGCCTACTGTTTCTGCCTCCAGTAGTTCAAGTAGTGACCTTAAAAAGAACTCACAAAATCAGACAGCGAATATCAGATTTCAGTTCTATCCTGTTCCGGTAATCAGTAGTTAACTTGTTTTCTGTTTGTTCTATTGTGAACGTGTTGCTGAGATTGACCTTTTGCGAGTTGATATGTGTGAAATGATTTAATGATTCAATTCAGTCAGGTGACTTGACTCCCAGTTGAGTCGTCTGTATGGAGAAGTATCACTTTCAAGTGGGAACTCAGTGTTTAATGTATGCCTCTGAAAATGTAAGCAGGTTTGTTTCAGACAGAAGGACTAGTTTGTAAATTTATCTACTATTAAGTAGTCTTATGGATGCTCAGTAACTGTTGGTTTGGATTAAATTGCACGACTATCCGTGTGGTTTAGAGTTGACGGCATTCATGAAATTCACTATAGAATATTTAGAAATCAAGGCGTTCAGTTGGTAGATTAAGAACCTGGATTAACGACCCTATTAATCAGCTATATGAAAACGCAGATTTCTTCATGAGTTGGGAAAGTGGTACGTGAACATGACTATATTTTCAATGGGAATTCATGTGGAAGGCTTCCGACCATTGCTTTGCCACCCAAGATGATTGGGACTTTGTGTTCAGTGGTTTCGTCTCTCCAACCAGCATGTCACATTTCTCAAGAAAGGATTTGATAGGGGTTGTGGTGTTTAGGTTACGGAGGACCGAATACTCACCTCCTGAAGTACTAATTAGTTATAAGCATTGGAGAAAGTCTGTCTTTGATTGTAAATACTTGATTTCAGTTTTATCCAGGTGAATTAAATACTTTTGACCACTCTGATTTCTAGCGTGCCAGATGCTTGTCGTTTCCATATCAAGCCTTACCGTCTCACGGAACAACAGTGTATTTGTATACGTGGACTGTTCCTGCACCTGATGTCGTTGCCAACCTTTGCTGTGTGGAGAAGAGTTGTTTCAAAAAGACAGACGGGGCTATTGGGCTTTTGTTTTCGAAACCAATTTCCAAGGTGATTCTAAGCATTTTTATGAACAGTTATCTCTGGGGGAATATTTTATTTTCTCTCGTTTCCTTGTGAGGTGTTATTTCACATGTGTATAAGTGGGAACCTCTTTTATCCTTGTGGACCAGAAGCTTCCCTACAGAATACAGCGTTGACTGTGGTGTGATATCATTAGGACTGCATTTAATTAGAGTAGTGAAAGTACTAACTTTCATGATCTGAGAAGTCAGTGACTTATAAAGAGGAGTGAGACCACTTCATTATACCTTGATTAGTATTTCCCTTGAGCAGTGATGGAGAAACTTCACTGATAATTATCTAATTTCGCTGACAACTAGCTGGCTGACTAAGTCCACTAAATCATGTATTCTCGTGGACGACAACATGAAAGTGGTAATTGACTAGTGGGTGGCACTGTGGCGAGTGCCCAGTCACTTCCAAACCCACCCTGATGAATGAGCCTAAACGACCCTAGTCAATATGTTAGAGTTACCACTCCAGCTGAATTTGAGTCCTCATCATGTCTGAAAGGACACTGCCATTATGGTGGACAATTCCGCCAGGCTCGGCTTTCCACGGCTGATATACTTCTGCTCACTTAAGTCTTCTTTTGTTGTGTCTGCACTATGTGCCGTTGGATTTTGGTGTCAAATGCACACACTTATCTATTGGAATATGTGGGTAAACACTTCCTCGAAAAGTGTTTTGTTAAGCTATTGTTATCTGACAAATATGTTGAGGGAGCTGGGGGAGGTATATTATTGTATATATTATTGTTCCCTTGGGTTCCTAGTGGAACATAGGGCTTCAACTGCACGCCTCCACTTGCTTCTGCTTGGGGAGGTAATGTTTCAAAATTATCTTAAGATCATTTTCCTACTTTCTCAATCTTGAGTTTTAATAATTCGCAGTTAATATTCTTATTATGCATTCTGGGATTGTGTCTCATTGGTTCCCGCACACGGATATTACTCAACATTCTGAGGGTTTGGAGCAGCTCTATCTGCTTCCACGGGGTTGACATGTTAGATATCAGTTATTGATAATGGCTCATAACGTAGTACATGAAGAAAATTGTGCACAAGGCAAATCAGTTAACAACTGTACGACGAAGGGAAGTTGGTTTTACTTAAGTGTGGAGTGTTATTTATGAATGTGAATGATCGCTTGGACACATTTGTAACCTCCTGCACATTATTGGCTTCATATGATTTGACTCAGTCTGAAATTATAGCAGGAATTATTAAGTAAGAAAGCTGAACTCTCTTTGGTGTTTCTTCTTTCTTTTTGTAAACAGAAAGAATATGTTTGTCGAATTCCCCTGTATTTGACACGTGGTATGGCTCGTTCGCGTGTCCGATTAGTGGGAAAGCTTACACTTAGTGAACGGGAATTGGAGTGCATAAAATCAGCTCACTCGGTGATATGTGAACTGATTACAAATATATCCCATTTATCACATGTTGGTCACAAACCATCGAGTCAGGCTCTTCGCGATCTTATGGAGAAACAGAAAGATCCAAATGAAGTTCCTGAAAGTCTTCGAGTTACAGTTACCGATCGATTTACCGATCTATTATTCAGTCCTGAGAAAGCTAATATTCTGGCATTGATGACCTTAATTCAGTTACCAGGTAAACTATAGTTCTTGTTTTCTCTCACTCTGCATTAAATGAGCTTTTTAAAAGAAATGATGAATTCAGTCAGCATTTGACAGACTTACATGGACAGGAGACGAACTTGTTGAATATCATGCAGTCTGGTCTGAGTGAGTTTCCATCAATCAACATTGTCCAAATGATGGTGATTTTAACTGGCACTATTGAATGCATGACGGAATAGCTATTCGTTGGAAGCAGTTTGAAAGGGTGGATTGGAAGGCGTATTTGTATTGTCATCCTCCATCCATTGTTGGGTTGTTTTGAGGCTTGACTTCGTTTTTACTGTATCCAACCAAGACAGTGACGCTTGGTTTTAAATATGAAAGGAAAATCCCCATTTGGACATTTGGATGACAAAAGGATTGAGTGAGGAAATATTTACTTATCAATTAGATCCTCAGCACTGGCTATAATATGCATTATACATATATGCATACCGACTGCCTCCAACCATCTAATATAACTAATTGTCGTAGTTAATTTCCTGACCGAAGTAAAGATTTTATTCCCTGTGTTGTTGAGTTTATGTGTGCGGACACTGGAGTGATATAGGCAATATAGGTAAGTGGAAGGAGAAGTTGATCGCCCAGTGGATCCTTGTCGATGGAATCTACGCCTAGCACAACACAACACACGAAATAGGAATAACGCAACGCCAATATCAGAGATATGGGAAATATTAGTATCAATAAAATCAGAGGATAAGAAATAATGGAATCATACGGACAATGTCTGAGAGTTATGTGAGCATCGTAATGGTTGTGAGCAACAAGTTGTGATCGCGACGTCATCAGAAAATAATACTGCATCACTGTGTGCTTTCATGAAATAAATTTATTCTATGATGTGATTAACTATCTTATTTGTAATACATTTACTCCGTCCCATCCTACTGTGTGATAGCACGCAAGTGGATGCATAACAATGGGGGCACTTTTCTCGAGACTACTTAACTGAGCGTGGCCAAGGTTTCTAGACCTGGCGGGATTTCTATGTTTTGATAACATAACTAACCCTCGTCTACTGGTTAATCGTATTTCGCTTAATTAGGTCTATTGAGTGTTGAAGGTGACAAAGTTTGTCTGTGAGTAAATGGGTTGGTTTAAATGTCCCTCTAGTTTCAGTGGTATTAAGACTCCTATGTAGGTCTTCTGATGTTCCTTCTTTACATGGTAGTGCTGTCGATGTTTTGAATTCGTTATCACTTATGTTTTCATCATCTGTATCACACACTTGAATAAAACCTGGTGGGTAGTTGTTCACTGGTATTGTTTTCTCGAATTTTGTATTTCATCACTTAAATCATCTGACGTACTAGTCAGGCTCCTAACTGAACTACATACATATTCGACTGAACCCACTTATAGTCATTTCGGATGAGATAATTGTAGCTCTAGGTAGGTCTTTTGCTATTTGAATTTCCCCTGGCTTCAACTTCATTTCAAATAAGTTAATCAACCTGCAGTCTGACCGATATCTAATCGGGCATAATATAGATTCCAAATATTTGGATAGTTCATATGTTGTAGTGTTCCTAAAGTCGACTATTGGCCTAGCAGATTATCCTGTCCCATGGATTTTGACAGTAATGCCGTGCATTCTACTAGGAATACTAGTCTTGGTCACTAAGTTAAACCATGTCGACTCACCCAGAGATGACTTCATTCGGTGTATGAGACCAGCTGTTGGAGTTTTGATCCTTATTATTGATAAGCGTGTCTGTGGGTTTCGTAATCTCCTCATACGGATGCATTTGAATTTGTTGATTGACTTTCTTAATGTAATCTGATTTGTCCATAACTGCTGTTGAGTTAATGTTATATGCTTTGGCAATTACTATGCTTCTGTCGTTATTTTAGCTTTTTCGGGCTGACATTTGTGGTTTTGATGAGTTTTGTTTGTCGTTTTTTGATGTTTCAGTGTGTTGACATAGATTGTGTGCTTGAACTTGTGTATCGTTTGTCTAACCTATGGAGCTTAATGTTACTTCTGTGTGAGAAATGAGATCTTCAGGCTTTATTGTGTTAATGGCTATATTGAAGTTTGGATGTTTCTGAGGCGCTTATATTTCTACTGAGCGTAGTGTTGTGGTTGTGAAGTTAAACATGCAAGGTTTTGTTTCGGTGTCCTGCTTGAATGAAGTATGTTAAGCAACTGACTTCTGGTATTTCTTATATTCGCGAATAGTAAACGAGGCCCGAAGAGCTGTGAATTTCAAAGCAATGCTCAGTAAGAATTAGTGGAATGGTGATGCTTCTGCCGAGAATCTCAAGATTGGCTTATGCGGATAGCTGAGAAAGGCACTCTTTTCGACTGACCTACGGATGAACTTCTACAGTCAGGAAATGTCTAATAGTGTTTTCGATTTTCTAGTGATGTGACGGTTTGTTGATTGATTTTACACTGAGAAGTTTGATTTGATATGTAGTTCGAAGTGTATCTTGGAGAAAACTACACTTGCTACCCAGTGAACTGGAGTAGGAACATAGGGTTCAAAGTAAGGGTTTATACTTTCGGTGTGTAGAGATGCCTAGAATGTAAAGGTATGAAAGCAGATGGTTGTTGTTCATAGTTGGCTGTGGTGTCGACAGAGATATTCAGACAGTTCATTTCTCCTGACTGTTCGTATATTGCAAGTTGTTGTCTATCGATTGTATGTAAAGTGGAAAACGTATTGAGTTTACGTGTTTGTAGTATCATGAGGATTTCTGATGGGATTGATTGTTTGTATGTGGTGTGCATTAAAATGTCACGATTCGTGTTCTGTCCTTATGGAAGACTTCACCTGAACTGTTCAGTTCACCATAGATGTAATGGAGGATTAAATGTCTAGAATAAGTTAAGTGTTGCTTGTCCAATAGAACCGCTCACTGTTGTTAGACTTTCCTCCAGCAGTCGAAGAAGTAGTCAAGTCTATAATGACAGTTAATTTTAGTCATTTATCGCTCGCTATCCAACTAACCTATGTAGATTGACAGTATTTTCAGAAGCATTCATTCATCGTAGCCACTGTCACTCAGCGATCAGGATAGTATGCAAGCCTCACCATAGCATTGAAGTGGTTGGTCGCTATCATTCGGACTTTTATAAAACGATATTGACAGTGTAGATGAAATATGCAACATGAGCTGCACACATCATATTTATGTAAATGGCGTAGAAATATTGCATGCGTGTTTGAATTCTATGGTCTGCATTAAAACTGTCCATATTTTTTTAACTAGTTTGAGTGGTTATCTTCCAATGAGATTATTAGCTCCAACGAGAATGTCTTGTTGATGACTGAACCTAATTAGTAGTAGTCCACGACTGAGGTCGACATCGTCACTGATACACCCTTGAAATGATCAAACTGTGCTCACCATTCTGGGGAAATTCATTGAAATGTGTCATGCAAGTTTTATATTTGACACCTATCATCATCACCATCACTAATAGAAGTAGTGGTAGTCGTACTAGTTTTCTCTCTTGTTTATTGTACTTTTATGAGCTATTCAGTCAGATCTGCCAATAAACACCTTCTAGTAGTGTATGTTGAAAATAGATTTAACAATATGCAAGGTGAATGTTTCTGATGATCGTTTATGTTGGTGGACGCTTTTCCACTGGTTTTTATGTTCATCAATTGATGTGTGGAAAGTAACCACTGATAGCACTTGTGATACCCTAATGATCAATCGATAGGTCCATTATGGCCAACTATACACTGAATCATCGAGCGGATTGTCTCAGTGGCGTCATCTCTGTGACTGCAGTAGTGTGATGCGACTTGGAGTCGTCTGTGAAGAGAATCAGTTGGTAACGAGTGCCAATAAGAACAGAAGCTAGATCAACAGTTTTATGTCGATTACCTCCAACGAGCTTTGAGATGGCTGTATATATGTATACATGTCAGGTGTCCTTTGCAATGGAAGTTAGTTACTTGTACAAGGTGTTTTTATGTAGATTGGACTAGAATTCGTAGATGCTACGTGAAGTGGCGGTTTTGTGGTATTAGTAGAGAGACCTGAGTTACATCTAGATCATTACTAATATGAATTTTCAATAATGATTGTAGAAGTAATTCCAGGGTGTCTGTCCTATTATGCTGATGCTTGATTTTTCTCTTTTACATTTTTTATTCTTTTAGAATGTACTATAGATTATGAAGCTATTGAGAGTCTTGTGAATTGGTCACTTTGTCGTACGAATTCATTGTCTTCGGACATTAAAAACAACACTAGTGGATCAGTAGAGATCAGACCTGTCCGTGGTATTTTGCCTAGTTGGCATGTTACGCTGAGTCAAATACCTCCAGAAGATTGGGTTGGTTTAGTAGTCAGACCTATTCACCTTCCAGATAACGATCCTGGTATGTTTTCGATTTCAGAAGTGTGTTCGGAAACTCCTGTAAGTTGTGTGCCGCGGTATTTAGCTTCGAAACTTTGTAACACGAAAAATGATGAAGAAGTGTCAGGAGTGACCTATTTAGATTTCTACAGAACGAAGTGTCCCCTGATGAGAGATCTACCCATTGATATTTCAATGCCACTGTGCAAGACGTCACGACTGACGCGTCATCAAAATTGCACCCAAGTTACTGCGGGTCTACGAAGAGGTAAATCAATTCCCAGACAGTCAACGTTCGTATGTGAAGGGTGTTTAGTACATCCATTATCTTCATGGCTTTGGTTTCTGGTGTCTACGATACCTGCAGTTCTTTATCAGATGTCGAGGGCATTGTTGGCATCACAATTGTCCACAGAATTGGCTGCTGAGTTAAAGAATCCCCAACCATTCTGTCAAAGGACGAATCCATCCAATATGACGGATGATTCTCTTTCTCCTGTAACCATTTTCGTGCCTGATCGTCTACGTGATGCTAATTTCTCAAACGGTGAACCGATTGACGCAACTATGTTTGATTTGAAAGTAGATGAACTTACTTCAAAAGAAGATCAGGAGATGGATGATATGGCTGCAAGGGAATTCAAAGGCGCTTCGACAGTTTGTCCTCAACCCAGTGACCTGATCGAGCCAACTACGTTGTTAGGTGCTCGTGATGCAGTGAATCTTGAGCGTTTAGAATTTTATGGCGATTCGTTTCTGCATTTGATATCTACACTGAGTGTTTACGGTACCAGTCCACAGGATGCGGATGAAGGACATTTAAGCTGGAAAAGAACTTCACTTATATCAAATGCTCACTTGTGTGACATTGCTCGAGATTTGACATGGTATGGATATTGTACTGGTCAAACATTCTTTCCATCAGAACATTTTGTACCTCCGTGCTACACTGTTTCGTCTGAGGTTAGTGGCTGTGATGGTAATCTTTGTTTGTATTTTCACGTTTGCTCAGAGCATTTCAATTCCTGTATGTATGTATATGCATAGTTATTCAAGTTGTAAACTCATATGGTAGAGATTGCTAATTTCATGCTGTGTGTGGATGGCTCCATAGAAAGCGTGCAAGTGATTAGTTCCGATCCCGATTTATTGGCTGAGGATAGAAGGCTTGAAGCCTATGTTAATCGTTTTGTAGTGAATTTCTGTGGTTTCTTGAATAAATGAATTGAGGGCGCTGACACGACTTTTGATCTCAATTGGTATTTCCTCTGAGGTGTTCCGATGTCGTGTGGTAGTAGGGAAAAGAGAGAATAGACCAGGTGCGTAGTGATTATTGGAAATTCTGATGGTTGTAATGAGATCTCTCTGCCTGTAGTGTGACCGGGAGAGAAGAAAGAGATTCAAAGTGTGTAGTCTTTCGTCATATGATAAGTTGGTCATGCCAATAATCATACTTATTGCCCTCCTTTGAAACGCATCTCGAATGTGTGAGTCCTCGTTAAGACAAGGACTGGCGGCCATGTGTGTCCACCTTTTGGAGTGAACAGTTATTTTCCACATTCACCAGCCTGTGGATGACACTCGGTGACACTGTTGCAGTCGTCCAGTTTGAAGTCTGTATAAATAAAGATAATTCACCGTTGATTTTCATGGTGAGTAGTGTATTTTTCTCCGATAGCTTTCATAGCTCTTTTCACTTCTAGTAAGTGAGTATAAAAGTCGTGTCAATTTATTGTGTTTGGCTTTTCTACAGGTTTCTAAATACGATGCTCGTTTATATACCCGCCTATATGACAAGTCTTTAGCGGATATGGTTGAAGCCTTGTTAGGATGTTTTCTAGTGCACATTGGACTACCATCGGCTGTAAATCTCTTACATTATCTTCAAATATGTCCGGTGAATTGGAATACAATAAAATGTGACAAAGAATACAAGATTGATGCTCCATGGCATTGCCTTCTTCACTCAGAAAATGATATTGCTAGCAGTTCAAATTCCAGACGTCACCTTCTCCGTGCATCATCACAGAATTCACTGGCCACTTACAAATATCGAGATCTCAATGAGAAATATTTTCGTTTACAATTGAAATTGGATTATCGCTTTAGAAATATTGAATTACTTGCTACAGCTATGACACACCAGTCATCAACTAACACAGAGCACTGGGGAAATTATCAGAGGTAAGCTGTAGTTCATTCTTCTCTTTCTCTCCTAAAATATGTGTTTCTTTAATGTAAAACATTTGGCAACTTGGATTGAGTGAGTAGTGCACACTTTTATTTATTTATTGATTGACTAAAACATAAATCCGGCACATTATATATGGGTACGAATAAATGCTCCACACAAAATCGGATAGTTTGTGTGGGTTGTGAGATACTGGTCGGACGTGTAGACTGATGCAAGTGGTTGAATGAAAGCGGCCACCTGTCTCCCCCCGAGCCTTTGACTTGAAGTCAGATCCACAAGGCAACCAATGCATGCATTGGAATCAGGGTTTTCCAGCTCCGTTAAGTCAACCCGAATGTCCACGAGTCCCAGTATGACGAGGTGTTCCACATCTTTAATGACAATATTCATATGCATAGTGACTGTGATGAATTCTTATTTGTTCGATCTGTCTATTTATCTTAAACTTTGCCATGGATGACATTCTGGAGTCATCTGTAAAAGACGTGCGTGTTGGCGGTGTAGATTTACTTCCTAGAGGAAGACCTTTTGACCTCGAGAATGCAGGTGATATCGTCTTATTGTGCGATAGCATGCAGGCTGCCCAAGTGGCGCTTAATCGGTTGGTGATCAGTGTCTGTAAGTATAGTATGTGCTTTTCGCCATCTGAGTGCAAGGTGTTGTTACAAGATTGGCAGGAGCGTGCACCTGTACTCACTCCAGCAGATGGACTGCTTGAATTTATCGATAAGTTCGTGTATCTGAGTAGTTGTGTGGGTGCTGGCGGAGGTATGACGAACAAGATTTCCAACTGTATCATGAACGCTAGGGTGGCGTACGTCAAATGACATGGGGCTTGGCGAATTAATGTATGTCGTGTAGATGTTTGACTTTCTTAGAATTAACCACGAAGGTCGGGTTTACAGTGTATCAGTGCGCTCTGTCTTGTTCTACGCCTTCGAAAACTGGTTATAGGATTAGGCGACAAAATTGAATTTCACAGTATCGAAGTTATGCAGAAGAATTTTAGAAATCACAAAGACCATCTCATATCAGAAGCAGTTCATGTCAAGGGAAATGGAGTCTTTCTGAATTTGATCTGGTCCCAACAACTGCGTGTTGGCTACCATGAAGTGAGAGAATCAACATAAATGGGATTATCAGTTTCAGTGTGAAGTTATTGGAAGTTGAAGTGCTGGCACGTCATCACACCAGCTGTGTTTCAGACAAGTAATTACAAATGACATGAGTCTGGGAGAGTTGATGTCTGTTGTGTGGATGTTTGACTTTCTTGGAATTTAACCACTCTGAAGATGAATTGTCCTTACGACCCAGGATAAGCCAATACAGCAGTTTTGTAGAGACGCGTAAGCACTTGATTCTCAGATGATGGATGACAAGTTCCAATCCCATTCCACCTACTTCAACCCGTTGAAATGTGTAGTAAATGAGCTAGAGAAGCATTGATAAGAAAACATGTAATCTTGCACTTGAACAAGGTGTGTGTAGACATGAAACACACTTGTTTTTAGTGTCTAAACAGTCTGTATGTGTGGTTACTTGGTTACACATTTATAATAGGCTGTATAGTGTTGATATTGGTTTGTGAGTGTGGACAATGATTGTTGCCAGTTTGTGTAATGTTTTGAGAGCAGGGAATGTCAGTTATTGGGTTATGATTGCCCGTTTATGTGAATTGTCTCGGTCACATTGTTTATTTTGTTTGGGGGTAGGTAGATTGATGGGGCGATTACACCGAGAGAGATGACTTCTATCTTGCGGAGCGATTGAACAAGTTGTTGACTCGAAATAAAATCCAGGGGCTGACATCTGACAAGTGTTTGTGAGCGAATTTCTTTGCACGTAGACTGTACCTAATTTGTTGTGCCTAAATGAATGAGATAAATGCAGAATTGATGTATCATGTGTGCATGCGTTGGTGAAGTTTTACCACTGTCGACTTTTCATCTCTTTTTATTGTTTCATATGTTGTTGTTTCGTTTTCATGGAACACTTGTGTCATCTGCCTATTCATCATGGTTGTGTTGTGACAATGAAACAAGATTGGAATTTCTCGGTGATTCTGTTATGGGTTTCATTGTGAGCAATCACCTGTTCAGAAAGTGTCCTCATGCTTCTCCAGGTAAGTGTGTTAAAGTGAAATGAATGTTGTTATGAATTTGCGACTTTTTCTTCTCAAAATGTTGATGTTGGAGTGATGAAATGGGATAGCCTGAATATTCCGCCCCTCTCCGTTTGTGTGACATTTACTGTTACAGAGTAGTGAGAACCGTGAAGTTGTTGAAATAAATACCTGGTAAAATTTTTCCCCGATTGATAATATAATGTCAAGTACCTAAATAATACGCCATCATGTCACTGATGTGATTACGTGAACATGAGAAGGCTACAATCAGCCTCATTGTTCTGGTATGTTATCAAGCCACACTAATGTTGATGATTAAAGTGTTTTGCAAATATGAATTGTTTTTTCGTGAAAGGATAAATGATCAGTGGACGCGTCATTTCTTCGTTGTTCCATCATGTATGCATTAATTTATCTACCGACGAATACGCATGTACTGCTAATTGCCCAACAAGTCATATAGTCACAAGGAACCTATAAAATGCCATAGCAGTGAGAATCTCCTAAGTTAACTGTCTAAGTTATTGCAAAATCCGAGAAGTAATGGATAGCGGTTTTTGGGTTGAAATATTTATAGTGATGAACAGATTTATAACGAAGTAGATGTCGACGGGTACGAAGATCACCTAGGAAACATAATGAATGTGAATGATAATCACAGGGATTGTGGGCCATAGACAAGTGAGTGAAGAATGTTGCATGTTCTTGTTGTTGTCAGGACGCAGTTATCCGAAATAGGGTTTCCACTTACTTGGCTATGATGCACCTATTTTGCGTGAAGGCTGAAGTAGGTGGAGTGAGATTTGAACGCAGAACTCATTGACTGAGTGTTTGAGCCAATGAACTCCATCCCAGAACTACATCAGAAAAGAAGCATATCAATAGGTAGTGTGATTTTAGAGTGTGTTTGGCACACAGCATGATCCCACCAAATTAGGCAGTTAGTTATCTTTGAGTTTCTCGATGCTGTTGGTGAGTTATCAGCGACCACGTTGACGGCCATTTTGGCAGAAAACTAGCATACAGCCAATCCCTTTTAGTAGGAGAATTCAGTCTGCACCAAACCCAAGGATTGGATGCATGACATTAGTTACTACCTAGTGTCAAATCAAAGTATCCATTACAGTCCTATTGTAGGTGATTCATGGGGTTGAGTAGCAGATTAGAAATGTCTCTGACTGTACCATTCAGTGGGTAACCCGAGTTGGAATCTCAGAAGGGACATGAATTCCTTGAAGATTTCAGATACGCCTTGCTGACAAGTGCCAAGGAGGACGAAGCCTAGGTCGAAGGCTTCCTGGCAGTTGCCTCAAATCACTTCACTTGAGATACAGACTTGTTGTTGTGAACTGTTAAGCTGAGCGTGTGGTGACTTTGCAGCTACTTGTTTCCTGAGTGTCTAACGATGGATTTATTTTTATACATAAGTGCAATCACTAGACTTCTGAAAAACAGCGACAGTGAGAGGGAGTCGGAGACAGTTTTCCACTTTTTCCTGCAATAATGGCTTATGAAAAAATTATCTATATTTCATTGTTGGCTAGATGTCAATGACGCCTCCAAGTGATAAAATTTTTCATATTATGTTTGGTGTGTGTCGATGTTTAGAAGCAAAGATCAAGTATTTTCTCCTTTTCTTTTTTCCCCACTTTAATTTGAAGGCAAACTGAGTGAAATGCGATCGACAATCGTGAGTAATAACAATTTGGCCAACACTGTAGTCGAGCATGAAATATATGCATTTATTGACTCTGGGGTTTGTGATATAAAGCCGTGCATTGATGAGATACAAAGTATTCATCAGCGAACCGATTCGATTTGTGAACGTATCGAGGTAAATTAAGAGATTTCTGCGTTGTTCACTATTACTAATTGTCTTGACTATATTGTAGAGTTGTAGGCTAATTAAATAGTCATATATATACCAGGCTAAAGTGCAGTATGTTCATTTATTATGGTAATGCTGATAATCGTCACTGCTAAAGACAATCGCCAGAGTAAATCCCTTGTGTATTGTTAAGTATTGAAAGCAAAAATGTAAAGACTGTGTGTATATTCGAAGCTATCTACTTATCTATCGTGCTCTGTGAGTGCAGGAGGAGATTATCAGCAAATAGCTGGTAATTATAATGTAGCATATTGAAATCGTGCTTTCATTTAACATTCTGTATGTATATTTGTCAGCAGGCGTGATTTGTGGACAGAGCATGTGGAGCAGTTTCTCTGACCTGAACCACCAGCCTAGACTAGCCTTGATTGTAGGTTTTGGTGAGCAATCTGGTCGAACGAGGGAGACGGCTGTTGTGTGTGGTCGTTCCACAGAATGACACTGCATGCGCTGGTGTCACCTTGCAAGAGTCAGGTGTGGGTGTGTTCGGCTCTTCTGAAAACCAATGTATGACTGTTGAGTCAGTGAGTGTATCACTATGTGTACTCTCATGGGTGGTGCAATGGTAGAATGCTCGCCTGCCACATGGGTGGTGCTGGTTCGCTTCCCTACCGACACACATCTAGACCTTGCCTAGCTGGTGAAGTAAGCTCGGTAAAGAGGAAAGGTTTGTAGTGAGACGTAAAACAAGTTCATGTATTGGAGTTATGTTTTAGTCCGACCGTCCTTGCTTTTTCATGGTTAACTTTTCCGGTGGAGGCAGTTGTTGCCTTGGTGTAGGTAACACATATGGTAACCATTTGTATCTGTGATTCCCGACATCCGTTGTTGGTTAATTCTGTTGATTATTGTCATTGACTGAGTGAGTCTCAACATTGAGGTTTGCACAGAATTGCAACCGTTCAAGTTGTCACACACTATGTTGTACACAAATTCAGAACAAAGAGATCGAAAGGAATGATAGCAAGCAGATATATGAGGAAGAAAGATTTAGTGGTTGTGGGGGATCGTGGAGAGGGAATGCATCTACGCCATTGGGAGCCATATCAGCGACAGTCTGTAGCCATTGATTCTTAGCATCTATCTATCCTTCATTATTGTCAACCACGTTGATCCGTCTAAAACGAGAGGCTAGAGCTGCACATCTCAACGAAGCAAAAGTTGATTAAGCACAGAGGTATAGTAAGACTTGGCTTTTTGGAAAAGCTATAAGGGAATTTTGTCAGTTTCGGAACTTGCATGATATTTCAAGGTATACTAAACGAGGAGTTTGTGATCATTTTAAAAGAGCATGTGGAATTTATGTGGTTTTTTATCATGATATTAGTCTTGTACCAGTCAAATGAAGATATTGACGAAGTGTAAACCTTAATGACAATTCACTTAACTGTCTGTGCGTAGTGTGTAAATATTGACTCTTACAATGTCACTGAAGTCTGTGTTTCATCATACTGCTTTTATTACTTTACTTCACTTTACTACATAGCTACTGATGAAGAAGGTTGGTGAGGGACTGAATGTCAAGATTTTAGCCGATGTATTTGAATCAATTCTTGGGGCTATTTTTGTGGATAGTAACGGGAATCATGCTGTGTTATCATCAATTATTTTACGATTCTTAGGCAAAAGTATTGGTGAGTTTTCTTTTCGCATTAGTAGTAATAGTTGTTGTTGTCGCTGCTGTTGACGGTTTTATTGTCTGTGAAGAAACCATTTCATTGTGTTTTGTTTTGTTTTTGTGATAGGAGAATCGTAGAAAATGAATCTCGTAGTTATGTGCATGTATTTGGAAAAAGTAGAGCGAGATTATGTTCGTTGAGGCATTGGCTAATGTAATGCATCAATTGCGAGCGTGATCACAGAGTTAGAGATATGATTGAGAAGCAAGCAGCAGTGGAGGGTCGTTTCGTGCCATTCTGAGATTCTTCTCAGAATTCTTCTCGAATGAAACCCGGTTCCTGCAGGTTACGAGATCAAGTGGCTGAATGGTCAACGAGCTTGATGTCATTTTGGTAACGTTAGGGTGGCGCCTTTGCCATCGGACGAAAATGAAAGGAGTCCAACAATGTCAGAATCGCACCAATGTTTAGATAAACTATGATAGAACAGGGTTACATATGTTAGCGCTACCCGAATAGCTCATACTAACATTTATTGTTTTACCAATGTATCACTATCAGAATATTTGTGAATTTACGTCGACTATTGAAATTATGGTTTTAGAAGTAATTAATACAGGTCCAGCTTAATCTGTGCCCACAATTTGCGTATTGGCTGGTGGTGGGGTTGCACTAGTGATAAGTGGTGTTACTCATGAATTGTGGTCCTAGTTACATGCACCGACAATCGGAAGTAGTAAGTTGTGTACCTACAGAGGTGTTATGAGTTTACAGCAGTTCAAAGAAACCATTGATAGCCTTGTATTTATATTTGCGTTTATGAACGTGCATTAATGTTCAGGTAGTTTTGAGTCATTGTAGGACATTGCGATTTCGGTAACATCAGTTTTACTAAATATCTTGTTGTATTGGAAAATATCCCTTGACTAGTTATGAAGGGAAAGAAAAGCCTCAGTGTACATCACAGTTAATTTAATGTCTCGTAAAGAAGAAACACCACTGTTACTGAAACGTCAAACCTCAGACAGGCAGGCAGTCAGGTAGGCGTGGAGCCTCATGTTCCACTCAGCACACAAAGCCATAAGACAAGAATAATAATTAATCAATTCATATCAATAAGTAAACCGTTTTCTTTATTTTCACTGTCCTCTTTCAGATTATTGCATTGACAAACTACCGAAGAATCCAATTCAGCAGCTTCCTTTATCGCATCCTGATATACGCTATCAGTACGTCTAGGAAGAGATGTTTTCCAAATTACATTTATAATTAATGCATCGCTTCATGTGTGTATATATGAATTGCAACAAGTTGTTCATCTGTTGTGAAACTGACTAGTTTGTTCACAGAGTTGATAACAATGCTACGTGTAATATTTTTCGTCATATAAATACTGCTTACCTGTTATATATATACGGAGACGGAAATCATTCGCTGTCAGATGCTGCGGTATAAATTCACGAAGAAGAAAAATACCATTTCCCCCAAATGTAGCTTTATTGTTCCGAAACTTTTGAAATTAGTAGTATTGTGTTTTTAGAATTAATTTTCCTGTATTTTTGTTCTCAGCATTTTTTGGTGAAAAAGGAAAAATCTTAATTAATCTTCTGCCTACTTTTCAGGAACAGTTCTGTTGTTTTCAGCTCACAGAATAGTCAGAAAAGGTATGTTATAAAGCATGCGAACCAATTTATTGTGAATTATTGGTGTATGTTTTTTTTTCTTTCGATTTCTGGGTATTACAATGCTCGCACAAAAGATTTTGAGTTTGCGTCTTTACTTGATGGAGTAACAAGTGTTGCCGAGAGAATAGATATTTTACTGTAAGGGTGTTAAAATAGCACTGAATTATTATTATTATTGTTATTGTGTGTTCATCTAGTTATGTGCTAGTAGTGATGCAGCCAGTCCGTTTGATTCGTTTAAACAGAGTGAGAACGATCATATTTGCAGGATGATAGGACCTCATTTGATTCCATTGATCCTTGTCAACTGAATACAACGTAGATGAAGAATGTGAATGTACTTTTCTCACAGTGGCGTCGAGTTATCGATTGAAAGTGCTGGAATAGCTAATTATTTATAGGTGAAACTAGACATGAAGTTGTCTGAGGAAGCGAAGTGTAAACCTGACATAGACACAAGGATAGACTAGAGACAGAGTAAATTTATACCTGATATATTATGATGAGAATTTCAATAGGGCTGAGTGGATATTAGAAGTGGAATCACGACTCAGACAACCAATTGAGTAAAACTGGAAACTCAATAGTGAATTCATCTCAGTAGTTGGTGGAAATCAATATTAGGTAAGGTGTTAGGCAACAGAACCAAACACGAAAGGTCCACGAACGAAACAGTTGCAGTTACCAGGGTGTAGAGACTGACTGTCTGACTGCTTTCAACAAAGAACCTTGCACCAATGTGCAGCAGTTCAAGTCGCCACATTTCACTCAGCACACAAAGCCAGAGAAGAAGAAGAAAGTAAGAAGAGACGCAAACTAGAGACAGTAAACAGAGATATGAGGCACAAAGAATTGTAATATCGAAGAACAATTGTAGTGTTTATGAGTTAATCAAACATTCACCGATCAAGTGAGAATATTGAGGGCCCGCAATAAAGGCTTTATTCGTTTTATAATTCCAGTATAGAATCTGGTTTAAACAAAAATGAAAGATGTGAATAGTGTATAATATAAATGCTAAACGTTTATGAAAATGTTCACACCACATTCTTCTCCCCCTTTGTTTGAGAATGCAGAGCATAAGGAGTCAAGACTTTTAAAATTGTTTAGATGGATGGCACAGAGAGTTATGTAGGTCTTTCAGATTAGTTTCACCCATGACAGAAGCAGAATATCCGCGAGATAATGCATCGGCGACTTTGTTTTCTAAGCCACAACGGTGGATTATATCAAAACTGTAACAAGAAAGTTCTATTCGCCAACGCTGAATCTTGTCATTCTTTATTTTCCCATGGCGGTTCATATCGTACATGAAAGAAACTGATCGTTGGTCTGTAATGAGTTGGAAATGAGTACCAAGTAAATAATGGCGCCATTTTCTGATAGCTTCGACGATGGCATAAGCTTCTTTCTTCACCGCTGAGTGATGCCGTTCACTTGATGATAGTGTTCTGGAAAAAAATGCAACGGGTCTACCATTTTGTGTTAACGTGGCAGCTATAGCAGTATCCGAAGCGTCGGTTTCAACTATAAGGGGCAAGTCGAGATCCACAGTAGTCATCACAGATTGAGCAAGTTCATTTTGTAATGCTGCATATGAGCTTACAATAGTACCTGGTAATGGAAAGATTTTATTTTGTATAAGGGGTTGAATTTTATCGGAGAAATGAGATATCCATTGTGAATAATACGCAAAGAGACCAATGACTCGCTGTTGGGATTTAAGATCTCGTGGAGGTGATAAATTCCATAATGCTTGAAGTCTATCGGGATCAGGTTTGATCATTTTATGAGAAACTTCATAGCCTAGAAGTTTTACTTGTTTAATGCCAATAACACTTTTATTCTCACTAAATGTTAGCCCATATTTTCTGGATGCTTCATAGAACCGGGCAAGATTTTTTGCATGTTGTTCTGTGTTTTCACCACAAATAGTTATATTATCTAAATAAGCAAATGTAGCTTGAAGATTTTCATTTCTGATAATCTGACTGATAACTCTCTGAAAACACGAAACACCGTTTGTGACACCAAAGGGAATACGACGGAACTGATAGAGGTTGCCGCAAGCTTCAAAAGCTGTGAAGAGTTTCTCTTCTTCTTTGATGGGTATTTGGTGGTAAGCACTCTTTAAATCCAAAGTGCTAAATACAGTATATTTTGAAATCTTTTCAATCATCTCATCAATTTTCGGGAGTGGATAGGCATCCAATAATGTGAAACGATTTATCGTTTGGCTGTAATCAATCACCATTCTACGCTTGTGGCGTTCATTAGTAGTGACCAAAACTTGGGCGCGCCAAGGGGGGTTAGATGGCTCGATGATCTGCTCACTGAGTAAATTTTCGATTTCCAGCTTGATGAAATGTTCATCTGAAGTGGAATGTCTTCGTGATTTTGTAGCGATCGGAACACATTTGGGTGTTAGGTTATGAAACAAGGGAGGTGGATCAATATGTGCAGCAACAAGATTACACAGTGAAAATGGATTGTTTTTACCTTCAAATGGAATTTCGAGTTTATTATGCAAGCGTAAAAAATCATGACCTAATAGCACATCAGCACACAGATTTGGCAACACTGAAAGTTTGATATGTGAGTAACTCGAGTCTTTATAACGTAGATTTACATAACAGTGACCATGAGTATGAGTTGTCAGACTTGTGGAAGCCATTGTGATTGAAGTGCGAGAATGCTCTACCTTTATATGTTGTTTTTGAACGACTGCACAAGAAATATAACTGTCTGAGCTCCCAGTATCTACGAGGGCTTGTAGGGGAATGTCATTTACAAAAAGCTGCACAACCGCATTGGAGAGAGACTGTGGAGCGGCGGCTAGAGTCATGGAAGACAACAAAGAACTAGTAACTGATGTAGTTTTGGTGTACGATTTTGACCGGCAGACCTTATGATAATGCCCCTTCTTACCACAGAGTTTGCATACTGCATCCCTTGCAGGACTTTTAGAGCGAGGATGTCTAGTAAATCCACAGAAGTAGCATTTCTCATTTATTGAAGCAGTCAATCCTGTTTCACCCACATAAGAGTTTAGTTCATTTGATGTATCACTGTTTGATATTGCAGCAGAATTGGAGAATTCGGAAGGATGAAACGAATGTGATTGTTGATAAGCCATTTCTAGGGATCGAGCTTGTTCATAAGCAGTATCAAGATCAAGTAATTTGTTTTCCAGAAGACGTTGTCGTATATTATTAGATTGCATTCCACTTATGAATGCATCACGTATTGCATCATTCTGATTTTGTTCAGCCGAGACAGATTTGAATGAACAATCTTTTGCCAGAGATTTCAGTTTTTGTAAAAATTGGTCGAGGTTCTGTCCAGTTTCTTGTTTGCATGTGGATAATAGATGTCGAGCAAAAATCTCGTTCTTTGGCTTGACATACAGTTTCTCAAGAGTACTAAGAGCGCCGTCAAATGTTTTACATTCAGCAATGTATTCATATACAGTAGGTGAGATATAGTTGATGAGAACATCAAGTTTGTCTGAATCTGGAGTTGAAGATTTAGTGATAAAAGTATTGAATGTACGAAACCAATGATTCCAAATCTTCGAAGATGTTTGGCAATTGGAATCAGCATCAAAGCGTTCAGGACGTAATATCTTGTCCATAATAAAACGAATAAATTCTAGTGTTTATGAGTTAATCAAACATTCACCGATCAAGTGAGAATATTGAGGGCCCGCAATAAAGGCTTTATTCGTTTTATAATTCCAGTATAGAATCTGGTTTAAACAAAAATGAAAGATGTGAATAGTGTATAATATAAATGCTAAACGTTTATGAAAATGTTCACACCACAACAATATAGTTTTATTGTGTGTTATAAGTCACAAGTAGTGGATGCACATGCGCCGTTGAGAACGATTTTGAGCCATTTCATCAATTGTCTCCAGCCATTGGTGTTTATCGTTCCGAGGACCCCAACCAGGAAGTCTGCATCTTCCGAAGTGACTCAAATCAAGTGTTGTGGATTTCATTGACTGATGAAGCCATGTTTCGGTTTGACAACCAGCGGCTCTTTTCTAAACTAACTCGATGTCAGCTAATATTGCCCGTCGAGGAAGGCGATGACAAGGCTAGACATGCGTAACACATGTCCTAACCGTCTCAATCGATGTAACTTCACAGTCTCGTCGATTGATTTCCCCTCTTTACCCAGCACTCGGCGCCTAAGCTCAACATTGCTCGCCGTATTATACCACGTAACACGGGAGATAGAACGCAGGCACCTATGATCAAGGACAGCTAGTCTTTCGATGTCTTCCACTCTCAATGGCCAGGTCTCACAGCCATAGATAAGGACGAGACGGACTGGTGAGCAGTGCACAGGCCCTTTGGTCGGAAGTCAGCCGGTTGTCACGTCTACGCCAGAGACGCTGAAACTGGCATATGCGAAACGCGCCTTCTGTAGCCGTGCTGAGATTTCGTCAGCGACCAACCTGTCGGGGCTGATGCAACTTCCCAAATAAGTGAAGTGGTCAACATGCTCCACCAATCTCTTCACTCCCCATTTTTAAGCTAGGAGTCAATGTAGTCCAGTCCTGTAGAATCATCTTACATTTGGTGGGGACGAATCGCATGCAAAACAGTCGAAGATTGCAGCTCAAGGTGTCCAGAAGACTCTGCTTTGCCTCGTCTCAGATTAGTGACAGCCTTAGTAACCTCAGTTAGTGATGGTGGACCAGTGTCTATATCCTATTCAGGGAGGTGTTGAATGTTCGGTAAGTTGAGAGTTGCGGTAGGCCAATTAAATTCCTCCTCAAGGTGTTCTCTCCAACGTTCTAGTCGTCTTTCCTGAGGTCTAATTATGGTGCCATTTTTCCCAGAGATTGTTTTACTTATCGTTTGCCTTTTACCACCTGTTTCCCTGGTAAGCCTAAATAGTTGTCTGATATTATCAATCGCCGATGCCATTTTCATCTCTTTTGCTTTTGTCGCCCACCACTGTTTACGGTCGTTTCGAAGGCTCCTTGTTAGTTTGCGTTTGAACAGCTTTCGCTCATGATAATCGGAGCTCTCTGGAATCAGTCTTCTTGTGTCAATCAGTTCGGATGAGGCGGCAGAAATCCACCGGCTCTTAATAACTTTTAGTTTCAGGTTATTAACAGTTGTGTCTACAGCTAACTGCATGTTGTGCCAGGCTTCTTCAATAGGAGTCCTGCTGTCGACCTCAGGTACACGTTTCGCTATTTCTTCCTTAAATAGGGACTCGGAGTCTCGATCTAGTTGAGGGGACGCAACTGCTTCACTGCCAACAATTTTTGTCCGTTTAGTCGTTTTGCAGCAAATTAAACAGTTTCAGGTAGAATTCATCCTTTATTTCATCCGAGCTGCAGTCTGTTGGGGGCGTAAGCGAAAGCTACGAAAAGACAACGACGTATAACGTCGTCCTTCCTTCTTCTAACGGACCGGTTCAGATGGACCGCACACCTACGACTATCTACTAGAATCCAGTCAAAAAGTGATTTTTCCGCCCTAACGCTCAATGCTATACCTACACCTGCGAGTCCCCGCGAACTAGCTAAGGGGTGTCCTGACACACCTAAAGTGAATTTTGAAGGCTCACCTTGTTGGTCAGGTGAGGTTAAGTGGATGACCAAACTCGGGTCTTGTATGTTTGTGTGAAACACAGCATACATCCATGGCTCTAGATTCCAGAGTTCTTGATAGTGATGCCTGTTGTCCGATTTGACAGAGGGTCCTGACGTTGAATGCTCCTAAATGAAGTTGGCAACGTGACTTTAAGAGTGCATAATGGTTAAGATTTTATTTTGATAAATCACACAGTGTTGTACAGTTATATTAACTGATGACATTTTTTGAGCACAAACTATTGCTCATAATCATATCACCTTGATATGATTATGAGCAATAGTTTGTGCTCAAAAAATGTCATCAGTTAATATAACTGTACAACACTGTGTGATTTATCAAAATAAAATCTTAACCATTATGGAGTTTTACTCTACCACAGTGCCCAAGTTTTATACTTTTATCAACAGTGGCTTTAAGAGGCTGTCGGGGGTGTTTTTCTGGCTCTCATCATTGCTTGTGGTCACAGAGTGAAGGAGAGATGACTCACTAGCCTGAAGAATAGTACCGACTCTACAAGGAAGTAAGATGCTGAAGGTGAAGTGGGTAAAGCAGAATGATGCTCAGAAAGGCTGTGTTTGCTTTAGGAAGTATGTGGGCGGTTGTTACTTCCCAGCTGCCCACACCGTGGAAGTTGATTGATTCTTGGGGTACCTGAAACAGAAAGAGGGTTAGTGTTGCGTGACCGAGGAGCCCAGGGTACAACTGGTTGAGACCGGTCACACACTGTCTGTATGAACTGGTTTCTTGGATTGGTTCCGTACTAGTAAATTTTACCTCCGGTTACGGACCACCGTAGGGCAAGTCGGGATGTACATTTGCTTGGGTCGACCTTTTCTAACCCCCTCTCCAGAGTGTAGAGACAGCTTAGTTGGCATGCTCGTCAGCTCAGAGGAACAGCTTCCATATAAGGCGTTACAATTCCCACAATTGATCTGGTACACACAGTTCTGTTGGTTGTCTTCTTCTATTTTATCCTTAACCTTCACAAGCGATGAGCGTTAGGGTGTTAGTTGCACGGAAATACACTCTTATGTCATGATTGTTGAGGATTCGCTTATTTCACCCTGTGTTTGTTTGCAGTAAGGAATCACCACTGTGCTAACCCAATTCTTAGCACCAGATTTCGATTCATCCTTATTTTCACATTGTAAACATCGTTTTATGAAGGCTTTGGGATAATTATTTGATTCAAGAGTGAACTAAACCAATTTATCTGATATCCTGTTTAGTGTTGTATTGATGCATATTGTCTCTGTCTTAGTGATCCATTTGCGGTGTAGTGTGTGGATACTACATTCATCATGTTGTTAGTAACAATATTTCTTCAATGATTCCTGTCATATAAATATCGAAGAGAATATTCTTTCTCTATTGAATTAGTCTTTCCAATTCTTTTTTTTACGTGATTTGTTCAGAATTTCAATGTTTGTTATTATTTGGTTGTTGCTGGATCTTCTGGTGAACATTTTGACTTATTTATTTATTTTTGTGATAGAAATTCAAACAATACAGCATCGGATTCAGATAATGAAAATACGTATGAGTTGATTGCATCGACTTCTGGTAAACGTATCTGTGTCACTAGGAATACACGGAATGAAGGTCGTCTTCAATTAGCTGAAACTTTGGCTATATCAGATGAGAATAAAGAGAATGTCGCGATTTCCGATGATCAAGTATGCATGTCGTTATCGTAGTTGAGAGTGGATGGGTTGGTTGATGAATTTCAACATTCGCTACTTTTTAACTGATTGACACTTCGCTTGTTACCGATGAAGATTTTATTTTCTCTTATTTTTTGTACTAGTTATATCTTTATTTACTCTCTCTCTCTCTTGAGAGAATGAACAAATAAACATTTTGATTCGGTGAAGTGTTCACCTCTAAAGTGTTGTCTTTATTTTAATTTGAACGTTCAATGTGCGCGATTTCTCAGTTATGGCTGACAGTTGGTGGCTGAGTTTCAACATTGTAGTGTGTACAGAAGTGGAAGAGTTTGGGTTGCCACAATCGATGTACCAGACAAAGGTAGAACAAGGAAAGAACTATAATGAGGAGAGATTTTCATTCGAGAAAGAATAGCGACATGGAAAGAAGATGAGGGATCAATAGATCTGGTAGATAACAGAGAGTGAATGCATCTGTGCCACTGAGAACGGTTTTGAGCCGTATGTTGTGCCATTTGTGGCTCAGCATCATGAGGACCCCAGTCAGATAGCCTACACCTGCCTACGTGGTTGGTTCAAACCAACTGAGTCACATGTCATTGTTTCTTTCTCACCTTGTAGTTAAGATTTTTTCAGGCATCCTATTTCATGCTTGGGGTAGAAACGAAATCAGTGCAATAGACTTAATTCTAGAAATTACTTGAGGTTAATCCTAGGACATGTCGACTTGTCAAGAGAGGCCGAACATTTCCGTCCACTGAAACTCAGTGGGAACAGTATCATTCACTGGGAACGTGGTTACAACCAGTCAACGAATCCGAAATAAGAGGGAGTGGGAATCGTTGTTTTTTACCGCGCGTCACCCTCCATGAAATAGCTGTGTAGTACCCATGCGATTCATCCAAGTGTCAGTTCATCCTGTGAAGTATCAGCTTCGAAAATGTACGATGGCCTAACATTACGGCTAAATCTCGAAAACACTTGCCATGCATTTAGTATACGATTGAAGAGTGTAAAATATTTCTTCTAAGCATGCATGAATTAAAAGTCAGTGTGAACGAAGAATTCTGGTTTCATTGAATTCCCTCTGGAGACAGATATCTTGCAGAATAGCACACTTGTCATGATTACTAATTCTATGTCATTTTATGGCTGTAAAACGTGTTTGTTAGGTAGTTTGTACAAAGATGGCATATATGAAATAGACAATAGTGAGACTGTTGTGACTAGATCATCCTCGTCATCAAATAATGAATATGTGAAATGAGTGAAGTGGAGTCATGGATTATCACTAACAATAATCAATCAGAATAGCTTGTCAGTTTCCATATGTATAAGAAAAATTCGACAGTGCTTTAGGAACGGTAGAATGAAGAGGGTAAATGATAAAATATTGAGACCAAATTAGTTTAAACAGTGGGAAATACTGGGGAGGCAACTTTAATCGAAGTCTGGTCACGATGGGGATGACCTCGGGTTGCTCACTCTGAACACAGAGTTCTGACTAAGTTTATCTTAAGTCAACAGCTTTAGGTATGTGTAGAAGAGTAGGTGTACTGTATATGGTAATGATTGCGAGGTGTGACGAATAGTCCTAAAGAATACGTTAACGCTAATCCGATGTCATGTATCTGCGGAGTGTGATAGAATAGAACTTTCTATGCATTTGATTTCACCCTGTGTATACTAGGATGGTGAATGATCTCAGATCTATAGACGAATGTCATGATGAAGTGTTCACCTCAATCTTAGTATTGTTTTGTCCAATGCAGTCCACTCGCTCGGCTGACATGTCTGCAATATCCGGAGAAACTTGGGTTATATTATTAGTAAACATGAAGTGGCAGTGGTCAAGAGAAAGCCATCAATTCTTCGTCTACAATTCGAGGGAGTTGTTCCTAAGGTGATCCTACCCGGATGTCTAACCAGAAAGATAAAGAATACTTCCTAGTCTGGAGATCTCTTCGTATCATTCAGTAGCCGTCTAATGTTCTCTCAGAAACTAAAAGTCGTCCTACCTAATAATAAGTCATCCTCCTAATGTATTTTCCGTCTCAAGCATTCGCGTGGTTCAAGTTGTATGGGGTGTAGGAGGGGGTGTGTTCGCCTGTGGTTTGAAGAGCATCTATCAGGCTAGTACAGAAAGGGTGCAATCAAATGCATAACATGTTCAATCCTATCACTAACGCAAACACAGCCTTCATTCATTCATTATTCTATTGCTTTCCGAGTGCAACATAGGGCTTCACCAACACATCTCCTGCCTTCAGCATTATATGTCACATTCCGAAGTCAATAACACGCACAGTTCGCCTACAACTTCTACCTATATATGAAGCTGTTGCAATAAAATTGGAACAATGTATCCAAAAGGAATACATTCAGGTGGTGTTCCTGCCGTGTCCAAACCTCGATAGAGTTCGTTGAGTGGAAAAACAAGAGCATTCAGCGTTATTCATCTCAACTCGTCATTGTTCTTGTGTTAGTTGTGTTGCGTAACAGTCAGCCTAATTTTGATTTTCACTAACTGACCGAGTTGAAGTCACAATTAAGTTTCCAAATTTACGTAATTGTTTCTGTATGTCATGAATTTACTCATCACTCCCATCCTGCCCTGTTGATCCTTGCATCATATTATGCATTGATTCATTGTGTTGTTCGATCCTGTATTCCGTCTGTAGTCAATACTAGTTTCTATATATGGATAAATTTGCAAGAAACAGTCAGAGGCAGTACAGAATAACTTTCAGCAAAAAAAATCATTCAATCAGAAAACGTTGCTTCTCGGCCAACAACGCTAATAATGATGTACATAGAAATCTATAAATATCACTTGATTTTGTGACTAAACGATCTGCTGCCTTGCCCTTGACAATAGGTTTTTGAATACATAATTTAGGTGTTTCTCCATGTATTGCCAGAGCTTCGGCTATACATAAGTGGGGAAAACATAAGCTGTTGAAGAGATTGTATTTGGTCCTGTAGATAAGCTTAAAGGATATATCACGTGTAGCTGAATGTGCTGACTCCAGAAGGCGTTTACTCGCCTTTCATTAACTGACCTGGGTAGTGTTCAGCTACGCATATATGGAGATTACGCTTACAACATCCAATATAATCAACTGATTACATTACTATTATGATGACAAATACTCGTTAAGTGATGACAAAACAGAACGGCAGTTAATACAGTAAATTTGCTTACTTAAATCAATAATTCCTGTTGAGAACAGGATGTTCGGTGAGGAGACTATTTTCAACGAGTTTACTGCTGAGAATTCCATTGCGTATTATAAGTACTGTTTTTGGAATAAAGTAGATTATTATTGTTATTGTTTTTATATACATACTGCTTTTTTCAATCGGAAAACAGACACCATTCAAAAGGTTTGACTGTTGATCTTCTCCTCATCTCAAAAAGCTACGAAGAGGAGAAGAGTGGCTGTACAAGTTTAAAGACAAGTCTGTTCTAAAAAGGATAAACATGCTGATTAAATCAGAAATTCAGCGGCTGAACACCATATACAACCGAAGACTCTTGTCTTGTGAAACTCCCAGAAACATGTGGGAAATTTTCAGTGAAATTACGGGTTGTGGTAGGCAGAGTGTTGATGTCCCCTCTGTTGATGTGAATGCTTTCAGCAAGTCTTTCGTACACTGTGCTAATGGTGCTTTTGTCCCCAATATAACAAATAACAAGGTCAGTGACTTTCGTGGTTTTAACACTTTTGATGTTCTCAGTTGTTTTTGAAATCTCTACAATCTTCCCAGAGCCTAGGTCCTGATGGTGTACCTACTGTTGTCCTAAGGAGATGTGCTGATACATTATGTTACCCACTTACAAACGTATTCCATACTTCACCTTAGTTTTCTGTAGTAGACGAAGTCGAAATACTGAGTCCATTGAAAAGATTCGGCATATTCAGATGAATGATGCTGAATGCTCTTGTTTTTCCACTCAATGAACACTATCGACCAAATATGACAAAACGGGATATCGGATGGATTTTATCTGTCTTCAGCCAGACGACGATGTGTGTTCAGTGACACGTCATCATCACAAGTCGCTCCATATTTTCATCTTTATTATTAATGGAAGAATTATTCGAGTTTGACCACGGATTGAAATCAGTCAGAGAACCATTGAACAGGAGGGAGTATTGGACAGCTTTTTCATCCTAGTCTTGGGAATCATCGGTATACGAGATTGCCCTACAACTGGAAGGTCCTGGTTTCAAAGCTCAGTGGGTGGTCAAACTCGAGAAACAAATCTGATCCTTACAAATCAACTCTTGAGAAGAATTAATAACGTTATGATGACATAATTTAGTAGTTGTTATTGTAAGTTTGAGAATACAGTATTCAGCGAAGAGTCTCATTCGGCGAATTCATTTTCACAGCTGTACAATCGCAAATATATATGGTTGTTTTGTATGTGTGTGTACATCAAATTTGTCAAAAGAAAATACACTTAGTAAGTTCAGATGAATTGGATGTTGATATAAGAGAGTAGTAACAAAAGTGATGAGTTGTCACAAACGATTGTTAAAGAAGAGTTACGTAATAACATGAATAGTTTAATGAAAGAGTTGTAGATGGAAACAAAATATACGGAATTACACAAGGGTTTTGAGTAGAAAAATAAGCATACAAAGAAAAGTTAAGTCAAATCAAACAAACAAAGAAAAGTTAAGTCAAATCAACACAGTTGTTACCATGGGAGTAGAAGTAGTTGAATAATTTTCTTTTGTATGCACATTTCTTGTTCCTCTGGCTTAATGGCTAGGGCCTCTGAAATGCAAAGAAGACGGAATCGTACTGTCTTTGGAAGGCTGTTCTTCACTTTGTAGATTACTTTGAAGTGGGCGGTTGTTGAGATGGAATGACCAGTGTTGACGAGGTGTTCTATTATTGGACTCCTTATGCAGCCATTACTTCCATTCTGCTGAGCACACAAAAGAAAATTATTCAACTACTTCTACTCCCATGGTAACAACTGTGTTGATTTGACTTAACTTTTCTTTGTATGCTTATTTTTCTACTCAAAACCCTTGTGTAATTCCGTATATTTTGTTTCCATCTACAACTCTTTCATTAAACTATTCATGTTATTACGTAACTCTTCTTTAACAATCGTTTGTGACAACTCATCACTTTTGTTACTACTCTCTTATATCAACATCCAATTCATCTGAACTTACTAAGTGTATTTT